CTAAAACCAAATACAGAAGCACAATGTGATTGGAGATAATTATGGAAGAAAAACAAAAATTTAATAGGAATTAAGTATAAATCTTTAGAGAAGAGCAAGAGAATCTTATTTAGAATTAAATATATTATCAATAGTTTGACAGTACTTGGGATATTAAAGAAGAGAATGCCAAACTTGTATAAGTCAGATGTATATAAGAAGTGCAAGACAGTGAAAGAATCATCAAGACATTTGTTTAGTTGCAAGAAATATGAGGGTTATTGGAACAATATTGAAAAGTTAGCATGTTGGTTAGTATTGAAGAAGTTTGACAAATTAAATAAAAGCAAGCTTACAAGACTTGACCTGAAAAGAATATTAGTTGATGAAACAAAAATAGATAAAATTAAACATAAAGTGTCATGTATATGTGGGTTAGCAGTTGAGAGTATGTGGGTTAGCAGTTAAGAGTATGTTTAAGAAGTTGTATGCTAAACAAGTTTTATATAAAGGTGCAAAGCAGAGTATTAGATTATATATTAAGATTGTAGAAGAGATATTTAGAAAAGAAATTTAGTAGAGAAAGTGTAAAACAGTAGTCAAGTAAGAGGAAGAAAATAGAATAATGTTAAAATGAAAACAAAGAAGAAGCAAGACAGTTGTAAATAAAGAATGAAGTACAAAGAAAATTAAAAATAAAGAAGTATCAATAAATAAGATCAGAGTAGAGAAAAAAAAAAAAAGAAAGACGGAGCATAGATGGTTATTTATAAAAGGTGTTGATAAAATAATACAGAATGGAAGTAGTCCAGTTCTTGACAAAGCTGACAAAGTTTTCCAATCTAGGAATAGGTTAGTGTAACAAGTTGCATTTAAGTACAGTTTCTGTACTTGGATGATGCTAGGCTTGCAATTGCAAAGATGAATTACTAGAAATAGATAATGTTTCAATTAGTAAAATTTTGTATTAAAGTTCTAACAAGACTGTTAAAGAATAAAAAAAAAAAAAAAGGTTTACTATATAGCAATTTATAATAATAATAGTATTAACTATAAACTAGTTTATAATAAATTTTAAAAACAATTATAAACTAGTTTATAATTAATTCTAAAAATATTAATATTAATCACATAATTAATTATATAAATAATTATAAATTGGGAGTATAGCAATCTAATGAAATATTTAGGTTATTAACTTCCTACGTAATAGATTGGTTGTTCAAATTTCATTGTCAATAAAAATTTTGAATAATTACTTATATAATATTTATATTATGACAACTGTTACTAACAATTAGATTAGAGTATCTGTAATAGTGATTGCACCAGTATGACTAACAAATCATAAAACATTTGTGCAATGTTGGAGTTATACAAAGAAATGCAAACCAACAACTAGGCAGTACAAACACTAAATAAGTACTTGTGGCTATGTAAATCTGTTGAAATTAGATAACAAGAAGTCTATTTAAGAAGATCTGATTAAAAAAGTAGCTGGATTGTTAATGGTGCTACTATAAAGGCTAGTTTAGAGAAACAGATACTTAGATCTTAGTAACTGAACAGACAAGAACCTCTGGATTGAGAGTCTTAGAGATACCATCAACTAGGCCATTAGAACAAACTAGAGAATAAGAATATTGGGCTAACCTAATATATCAATAGACTAATTATAGTTCTATATAGGCTATCTAAATTGAAAGTCTAATAAAATTTAGAAATATACTAAAGTATTAAAATTATATTGTAAAATAGATGCTAAGGTCTGAGTGAACTCTAAAAGGGCATAGCAGTTTAATAGTTAAGCTCTAATTATAAGTATTAGTTCTGCTATAGTAATACCTAAGTTAGTTGTAAAAATGAATACAGAAAGCTCTAGAGGATTTATCTCATGGATAAATTAGTCCTAAGGTTGAAACAATAATTTGAACATCTGGATATGACCCAGTGAATTAACACAAATTACAGGTTCAAAAAGTTTAAAGTAGAACATCCAAGCAGAGATATTAGATATGGCAATTAGTAAAAAATCTTCAGACAGACTCCTTAAATAGGTAATATAGAAAAGTTACATGTATAACTAATTGTATGCTCTTCTGTAGTGGTTCATTGAACTACAATACTAATAAATAATTAATAAAAGTCACAAAACCAAAGAGGTTATCTTAATATCAAAAAAAAAATAATAATTATAAATTATTTACTATATAACAAATTTAAATTTATAATATAATAAACTAATTTATATTTTTATTATAAACAAAAATGCAGTATATATATATATATATATTTTTTTTTTTTTAAATCTTAAATAGTTATACTAGTATTTTATTAAGATTCTTGAAACTATACATATATACAATTACATAGAATTTCCCAATACCTAAGTCTAGCATCACTCAGCCACCTTTATGGTATCTAAGTGCAACCTGTTGCACTATCTTAGTTGAAGATAGACTGCTTGTCTAACTACTTAAAGCCATACCAGAAGGGCTTTTTTACTTCTGTAACAAGCATATTGATTGTCTTCTAAGCTTCCTTCTTTATTCAGTTTGTTTTCTCTATTTTTTTTTTTTCTTCTTCTTTTGTTTGATTATTCTTCTTCTTTCCTTTATCTGTCTTTTCTCTTGCATGAGCTCCTTTCTTTATTTTGTTTGTTATATTGAATTTCTTTTCTTAGTCTTGTGTCTTTTCACATCAGATCCTTCATACTTGATTATAAAAAGTGTTCTATACTGTTCTTACCACTATATTTATACACTTCTGCATAGCCTGATTGTTTAGAAATCATTTGAGGTTCTCTTCTATATTTGTCTTTGTCAGTAGTAAAAATAACATAATTATGTTATTTCCACTTAGTTTAGATTATTCCTACTCAGATATGATGACAGAAATGCATCACTGTTGTCAGTGTTGTGATGACAGAAATGTGTTACTATCATTAGAAATATATTAGTATTCACTTTATTATTTGAATGATAAATGATTCACACTTGCATCATCATTCAAGTGATGAACAATTCGCACTTGTATCATCAGAGATATATTAGTATTTGCTTCATAATTCAAGTAATGAACAATTCGTGCTTGCATCATCAGATATATTAGTATTCACTCCATTATTTGAGTGATGAATGATTCACACTTGCATCATCAGATATATTAGTATTCACTCTATTATTCAAGTGATAAATGATTAACACTTGCATTGTCATTTGAGTGACAAACGATTTATGCTTGCATCATTAGATGAAACATACATCATAAATGTTATCGGAAATGCTATCAAATTTACATTGCATAATTACTATCAATTAATGCTATCTAATTGCAATCGAGTATACTATATATATGCTATCTGGTCATGCTATCTGGTTATGCTATCAGGTTATGTTATTAAAAAATGTTATCAGATTATGTTATCAATTTACTTTGCCCATAGTTAACCTCAGATTGTTAGCAGTTGTTAGCTTCACATAATTCATTTAAATATTATCTGATAATGAGGCATGTAGTGTCAAACTGTTAGCAATTGTTAGCTTTATATAATGCATTCAAATATCAGTTAAGTATAAGGCACATAGTGCCAAACTGTTAACAGTTGTTAGCTTTACATAATTCATTTAAATATTACCTGAGAATAAGGCACATAGTGCTAAATTGCTATTCTCACTTAGTAATACTCAAAACATTGTAATAAGTATATCTGTTTTCCATTTTTATTTGACATAAGAATGAGATATTAGATATAGAGATAGTATAGTATAATAGATATGGATATAAAAAATTTTTTAATACAGTTAGGATAGCAAGGTTATAGCAATTTTATTACTTTTGACTTGTTTGAACTACTTCTCAGATAATGAAAAAAATATGTAACCTTGCTGTCTCAAAAATTTAACTATACTTGTGCAGATTGCTGTTCCATTATATTGCAGATTACTGTTCTAAAAATTTAGCCATATCTGTGTGAATTGCTAACCCATTATATCTATATATTTTACTGTCTTGTTATATCTATGCACTTTGCTGTTCTGCTTGCATCTCGATTAAAATTATGTAACACAAAAACCCTTTTGTATAAAATCCTAGCATAGGTTGTTATCCTAAATCACACAACATAAAAACCTCTTATATGAACCAAGTATCAGAATATTAATTTTTTATTTAAATTTTTTCTTATATTAATTGTAAGAGTTAACAAAAATCCCCTTATTCAAAATATATGGCTAGATATACTCCTAGCCAAAGTATTCTGATCACGTTATTTTAAAATAGCAATTATATATATTCAATAATTGCTAAAGATTTATTTTTCAACTCTTTTTTGTGCAGAGTAGTAGGAACTTTTATTTTAGCCTCAAAATTTTACTTGTATTCCAGAAAAGTAACCTCATCCATACTTTCACACTCTTTTTTCCAATAATTTTTGTTATCTCATATTTCAAAGGCAATCTTGGTTCACCATCACTTCAATTTTTCTTTTGACATTTAGAATTTTTGCTGTAAAAGAAGAATAAGAGCATTGATATTAGATTCATTTTTAATGAGAAACTCTGAAGATAAAGAAATCAAAGATTCAGGTATATTTTTCAATAGTGTTATCGATGACATGACATATATCTTGAGAAGAATTGAGACCTGATTTTGGAGGATCTGTAATTACATTATTGCTTAAACAAGCATCAAGAAGAATCATTTTTAGATTTCCATTTATTTTAACTTTTAAGTGTATAAGTTGATTTTTATGATCTTTTTCTTAGTAAAATGATACTTTAAATTTCTTTAGTGGTTTGAAAAAAAATTCCATAAAATACTTTAGATTATAGTTAGCATGCAGTCTCTATTTTTTCCCAAATATTGCATAGTAATGATGCTTATTTTTCTTATAAATTGGTATTAAAATCTTGACATGATAAAGTATAAGATGTATGAATATCTAAAGAAAAACCTATCCCTTGTAAAATCTCATCTAAGGCAATAACTTTTGGTAATAATAAATTGCAGAAAGCCTTCTCTCATAAGTTTCCAATAACCATAAATCTATAATTCTTATGTAAGTTATCAAGAGGATTTACAGCTTGAACTAATGCACTATACACATTTTGCATCTTTTTTTGAGAATATTTTTTTACAAAATTTTCAGTTATATCTTCAGGAGTCTTTTTATAAAAAAATGCTAGATTGTATTTCTGTAAAGCAAGTCTCCAGGCTGGGTCTATATCCTCTTTTCTTTCTAAGTATTCTCAAATATTCCAAGTTTCAATATTATTCAAAACTAGAGCATTAGCAATCATTGAATACTTTTCTGTATTCAGAACTTTTTTGATTAAACATACATTTAAAAGCAATTCTTTGCCTTTATTATTTTCTGTGATTTTTAAATCAATAGAAGGGCAATTTTTAGCAACACAAATATCATAACTGCATTCACTAAGACGGTTAGCTAATAAATCTACAAAATCGTTTCTAGATGCATTATGGCAGGATGCATTATAAAGATGAGTTTCTAAAGATGCATTTGGTTTAAAAATCCATTTGCCATCAAGAGTAAATGTTTTATTATAATGAGCTTCCTCTAAGTTGGGATATTCTGTGACATTACATCGATAGCTAATAAAATGAAGTAAATCTTCACAGTCTGTTAGCAAATTATCACCACATAAATCTGTTAGAACATGCACTACATTTTGATTTAACTTTTTAATGTAGTGCAACATCTGATATGCTTCATTGCTTGTTAGACTGGCTAATGTGCGAAAATATGCAAACATTATATCGAAGTTTTCTATTATTATACTTATACTGCAAGTTATGACTGGAGTTGCTATTAAATAATTGAGATTTGCCACTGCATCATTAATATTAGCAAATATGTCTCTTTTCTTTGTTTCTAATAGCTCATTGAAAAAACATTTATCTTGATACCCATGAGATGCCAATTCTTTATAAAGAGCTTCTGCTATTTCTGCACTAGCAAACATTAGAATATAGACTTTTAATCCTTGTTTCAGAGCTCCAATTAATTCAGCATTCCATTTTTTGGTATTAATATATATAAGAGCATAATATTTATCTCGTATATGCTGGTTTCATATCACAGTTGAATTTTCAGCATCTATTTTCGAAATATTTTGTAAATGTACAAGTGAGTCTAAATCTAATGTAGCATCTAAAGCCAATATTAATAATGCAGATTGAAGTAAGGATTTATATATGTTATAGCTTAGCTTCAGTTTTTTCATAGTAGGTCTACTAAAATTCTGAATGATAGTTTCAAACTCATCTAGTATAATTATATCATAGCCAGTTGCTCCAAGTTTGTGAATGCTTTCAGGACTGATAATGAGTTTTAGAGTATCTTTAGAATTAAGCTTTTTTATATCCAGTTCGAGATAAGACTTAAACTCTTTGAAAAGAACTTTTTGACTATAGACTAGACTACGCCAGTCGGAAATGATGAGAATTAAAACAGAAGAACCATCAGAATGACATAGTGTTTTTATTTTCTCTGCTAACTTATTTGATTTGCCAATACCACAATGTCCTTTAATAAGCATCAAGTGCCAGTTACTACTTGTAAGTTTAGCTTGTAAATTATAGCTATGCATTGTTTTAGCATTATATATTTCAATGTTATTTCAATAGCAGTAAAGTTATTTTGTGAATAAGATTGTAATATATGCTGAAGCCGAGATCTTAATCTATCTAAATGTAAAATAACTTTTTTCTTCTTACTGGTCCTGCTATCATTATCTGCTCTAATGATTTCAATACCAAATTCACTTTTTTTTGTCTAAAACAATAAAGAAAATAATATAATCCATGCCATCTACCATATATACCTTCTTTCATGTGCTCTTTTTTACAGATCAAACATGTTGTAAGCAGAGTTCTATCAAAAGTATCAAAGCCATTACTAGAATTTTGATAAAACAGAAAAGAAAATTAGTCTTTTACTATTTTTATTGCAGTATCACTCTGCTCACATGAAACAGACTCATTTTTCAGTTTTTTCTCTTCTTCTTCTCATTCATATAGCCAGAGTTCTGTGGAATCTTTTTCAATATGAGTGATAAGTAACTCTCTCCAAGTATAATTTGAACAAATACACTTAATGCATGAAGAGTCTTTGGTTTTATGACTTTCACTAGTTGAAAGCAATGAAGATCTTTGTTTACTTTTTCATCAATAAAAGGATGCATTTTTTCTGGAAGAAGTTCTAAGATTCACGATGTAAATTTTTGAGCTTTGGATACATCACGAATGAAATATCTAGATAATATCAAATGTTTACTCCACTTAGACTCATTTGAGAAATCAGCTACAAAAAGATTATCTTTTGAAAGATTTAATCCAGTTATTTCTTTTATAGCAATTTGAAGAGCATTTTTAATATATAAATAAATCTTGTCTTTTTTACGTATAACTTCAGTTGACTTCTGCCATGAATGAAAATATGTATTAGTGATGAAACCATCAAATGATTTCTGTCCAAGAGATATTTTTATTCTATCTAAAGAATCAGGATATAATGCAAATTTTTCTAATTCACTATCCACATCAATCTTGATTTTTTGTGATTGCTCAGTCTGAATAACTTCATGAAATGTATGCTAGTTTTCAGGTATCAATTCATGCCATATTTCAAACTCAAATAAGTTATGAAAATATCTATAGCAATAAAGGTATTCTTGTTGGATAATTTATTCTTCAGGCTGAATATTTTCCGAAGCATAAAGACATTCTTTTTTAGGACAATTAGAGCAATTAAGATATTTATATTCTCACAAAATTTGTTGCTTATCAATTGTTAAATTTGGCAAATCATCTCCAAAATTGCTATTGTATTCTAAGTTTTTATCTGATAAATAATCATATTTTGAATGTGAATACCAAGACATTTTATTAATTTGTATATATGTGTTGTTTGTATATGTAGTATATAGTTATAAACTAAAAGTATTATACTTAATCCAAAAAACTTTAAAATAAAATTAATTATTCTATACAATTATTATTATAATAAATATAGGACTCTATTATTGCCCTTATATTCTTCGAACTGGCAAAGTTTGCAATCGAGGTTGCTATCATCCAGAAGGGTGTAAACTTTATTGAAATTTACCAACTTGGATTCCTTGCAAAGAATGCGGTAAATTAACATATTCTACATATGGTGTATGCTCAAATTATGTGAGTAAATATCGAAAAAAAGAATATTATCATCAAAAAAAACAGGCTGAATTACATGCAAAAATTGTTATGCTTGAGAATCACATATCTGACTTACCTAATTCTATACATGAAGTATAATTATATAGCTCAATATCAGATAATCCTATAGGTATATATAAACTCTTTTTTTCTAAGTATAGAAGAAAAAAGCATAATTAATTTTGATTTGAAAAAAGAATATTTATGGTGTATATAATCTAAAGAATTGCTCATAATCTATTCAACCTATTATAACATTCAATCATGTCAGCTATTACAAGTAAAATTGTTGAAAAATATAATCTTAGCTCTAAGATGGGTATATCTGATCTTAGTTAATATACCTTAGAATTTCTTAAAAACCTTACCGATGATAAGAAGCAGAATTAGGCTCACAAATGCCTTCAGAATGGTTTTAAATTTAGCAGTGAACAGGTAGGTGTATTGATACCTAATTAGAGAAGTGGAAAAAATAAAACTATAAATTTGGTTGAAGATAATTGTAGAATAGCAATAACCAAGCCCCCAAAAAGTTTAGAAGAAGAGATCATCAGAAAGAAAGCAAAACAAATCTTGCAAAATAGATATGAGTTTAGTGAAGATCAAGTAAATGCCTTATTCACAATCCTGAAAAACAAAAGTAGACACAGTATAACTACCTCAGATAAAAATGTAAATATTGTAATCACCAATCAACTCTCTAAAGAAATGGAGAAAGAAACAATTAGGAATATGGCACAACAGATTTTACGAGATAAACTTAGCATTAGAGATGTAAGAGCTGAAGCTTATGCCTTAGCCCTATCAGCAAAAAATGCTAATGCTGGCTTATCATGTCTCACTCATCTTCATAGAGAATTAAGAAACCTTAATGCATTACTTGAAATAATTGAGGTTACAAAATTTTCAGATATTACAGAAGATGCTAACAAAATCCAGAGTGTTAATTGAAAAAAAGCTAAAGCTAAATGTATCATTATCCAGATGAATTTACATTAGAATCAGTTAAAGAAAGATTAGATGTGTAGATATTAAAACTTTACCTGATTGTCAGGCTCTTGCTAATGTTATGATGATGCTTTGTATTCGTCCTGCTAAACTTAAAACTTTACACATTACAGATACTAAAGTGACAAGATATGTGAAGAATTGAGGTTAGCCAGATATTTCTAGAAAATTTAGATCAATGAAAAAGAATCAAGAATGAGCCAAAGAACTACTTACTTGGATTCAATATGCTATATTATCTGGACGAATAGGTGATTCAGGTAAGCCAGGAGTTAAATGATTTAATAGATTCTTAAAAGTTTATGATTTAATTTCCAAATACTTACAAAAAATAGGTGCTGTTTATGGTGTAGTAGTATATGAGGCTAAGAATATAGTCTATGCTTATACCATTGCTAGAGAATGTCTATGTCACAACCCCAACAACTATACTTCTCTAGTACAGAATTATGTTGTAGTGAATTATCGCAGAAAAAATCAATCTCCAGAGCAAGCAAAACTATTGCGAATCTATAATAAAGACTCATCACGCTTCTTTGTTTTTACTATTTTTACAGTAAAATCTTTATTATTATTGCTGAAGGCAATTACTTTGTGGCTAAATGATTCAGACCCAGATGAGGACTCAGATGCTATATTGTTAAAAATTAGTTTTTTTCTATCTTTGCATTTTCTTTTAGCCTCCAACTAATTTCAAACAAAGAATTTTTATTTGCTATAATGTATATATATCTGTGATAATTTTTCTTATTTTACTTTTGATTCTAGACATGGGCACTAACTGTCACTAGCTGATTTTTTGACAAAAATCTCATGCAATTGCTAAAGAGAGACATTCAGAAATAATGATAGTCTCTCACCAGTAAACCAAAATTTCTTTACCCCACTATTGATGAATTTCTGTATTAATACACTTGAAACATCTTTTAAGGGACCATGAAATTCTTCAAACTTTCAAAGGTACACTCTCGCATTTTTATTAGCTTCTTCTGCCATTTCTTGATTAGTATAACTGACAATACTAAGTTTTTTCTGAATTGTTGCTATATCGTCTTCTAAGCATAAAAGCAAATCAAATAATCTAATTGGTTTATCTGAAGAGGCTTTATTCCTTCTAAGTTCTGCTTCTAAAATAGGATTGATATCTATACCAAGTTTCATCTGTATAGGTATTAAATCCCTTACTAATTCTAATAACAATTCATATAAATCAGCAAGTTCTTTCGTTTTCTTACTCTCCGACACTGCCATTTGATTTATATTATTGTTAATACTAAGTTTTTTCTAAATAGCTGTTATATCTTTTTTCTTATATAAAAGCACCTCATATAATTGAGGAAATTTTTCACTTGGATCAGTATTATTATTAGTATTACTTGTCATAATTGTTATAATATAGTAATATAATTAATGTGAAAAATATATAAATTAAATAAATACAGCAAATTCAATCTGAAAATAATTATAACTACATCATAACTTCGAAATCATATGATGTTATAATGAGTCTTAGTAGAGTGATGTTATGTGTTTTATTTCAAAGAAATAGCACTTCGAGCCTAAATCTATGAATCAGAAATTAGCATAGAAGTATTTTGGTACTAACCAACTCACTAATCACACTTATTGCAGAGCAATAACTCTTTGGGTCTATCCTTAAGCTAAATTATTTATTCATGATTGCTAGCAAAGATCAAATGATCCTAGCCTATACTAAATAATTTATGAATAAACAGATTGCCAAATTCAAAATGAGATTTCATAAAATCTGCAAACTAATTTTTTTAATCATGAGGGTGTTTAATGTATAAAAATAAACTAAGTATAAAAAAAAATTGTGAAATACTTATCTGGTTATACTTTATATTAATGCATACAAATCTAATCACATAAATTTTACTCTTGAATATGTCTACCTCTACTTTCACATCAACTGCTCCTATTAATAACATCAAAAATCTCACATATAATATTCTAAAAACCTTCAAGAATAGCATTATTAAAGGTAAAAAAATTACAGAACTAGGGCCATGCTCCAAATGTGACCATAATATTTTAATATCTTCTCTCAAAGCATTTACATATCTAGTATGCAGATACCTTTTTTATAGACTCTGTATTAAAAAAAAGCTTTTACTTACTGTTCCAAACACATGTCTATTCTCAGGTTGTGGAAATAATATGGAAATATTAGATCAAGCCAATCCTCTTGACACTGTTTTCAATTTACTATTAACTAATTCCAAGAAGGCCTCCTAATCAACTGGAATTTTACCTTTGATGGGTAAAACATTCATTCTATCTTCACCACCTATACAAATGAAAAGGATCGAAGATACAACAACCTAACAAGTCAAAAGTAATTTGAGATATGTCAAATGTTTTGAAGATTTTTCTTCATATCTCCTACCTATAGACTTTCTTTGGTTCTCTCCTCAACTTCAAGGCCCCTTGAAACCACTCATATACTTAATCTGCAAACATATTATCTATTACAATTATATTGATAATTTACAAAAACTATGTCCTATATGTCTATCAACTAATATGGAACCAAAAGAGGAAGACAAAATAAGTGTTGATGTTGAAGAACAACCTAATACTAGCAGTAAAAAATGTTCCAATGAAGATATGAATGTCAACTCATCTACACCCAAAAAAAAGGTTAAGAAAGCAGTTAGAAGAGAAGATTCACCTATTTTGAAAAAACTTATCAAGGAATTGTCTGCTCCAATTCTATAGCAAAGCTCTTCTAGTAGTATTATTTCTCTACAGACATTTCTCGATATGAATATTAGCTTGGTTAATTTTTGTGAACTAGATAATAAGATCATTAATACTGAAGATGGTAATAAAAAAACTATTCTAAAAATAATTCATGCATATTATTATTTTGGGAAAGGGTTTAAGTTATAGTTTGACTATTATAAAAAAACATATAGTGAGGATACATCCAATTCTCTAGTTAATAATAAAATTTGAGAGTACTTTTCAGACCAGAACAAAGTTTCAGAGACTAATCTTAGAAAAAGGAAGAAAAGGGCAATAAAAATCTTTAAACTTTTTAATAGGGTTGAAAGAGAAAAAAAGATATATTGTATTAAGTCTTTTTCTGCATCAACTATTTCGAGACTTGGCATAGATAATATTGATTACATAAAAGCTAAGGTTTTAAAAGCAAGCCAATAAAATTTACTGCGTCAAATTTTATTCAAGTGTGACTGCCCTGGTCACAGCTACCGAAAATTTTCTGATTTTGATAAATATCAAATTTTTACTCAACTGTGACCATCTGGTCACACTTGCCAAAATTTTTCTATGTTTTAACATTATCTAAACATGCTTATCATTTCTATAAATAAAGTCAATGTATATGCTTATCAATTATTTTTAAACTCATGTATTCCTATAAATGTTACTGCTTAATGGCTTACCTTTTTTTTCCTCATAAAATCTCCTGCCTTATAAGGCTTATAACAAGATAGAGCATAAATGCAAGTACACTAATTACAGGTTTGTACATACATATAAAAAAAAATAACTACATGTATATTATTTTTTCTATTAATATACAAATATGGAATAATACAAATAAAAGAAGTCGAAATTATATCGAAAAGTGGCATATCTTTAAAGGATGGAGGCATGGGTGTAAGGTTTGTGACGAATGCGATCATCATTCACATTTATATTGTAAAACATGCAAAAAAGTAGCAAATAGAATATATAAGCGATGTGAATATGATAATTCTCGAATAATTAACGTTAAAATCTGAGTTAGCAATAATAATACCTAATTTAATTAAGCAAAACTTATCGTTATCACAATTTGTTCATGTTCATTAGCATAATAATTCCATATATAAAATTTATTTGCTATGCATAACTTATTTGTGAGACAGATTACATTTTTTTGAAATAAACACTCTAACTCAAATTCAGTCAATTATCTCCTGACATATATATTCCTGATTTCGCTCTGTGAGAAACCAGACCGAACCTAATCTGGCCTAAATGCGCATAATATGTTTTTTAAGTCTTATGTTTAAAGATCGTGCAATTTTAACTTTATATAGTGGACTATTTGCAAGACAGAAAGATTTCAGATCTAGATGATTCACACTCTGTTATTTATCTTCTGTTTTTTATCATCGATGAAAATTTCAACTTCCATCAGTGAAATTCCTTACAATGTTTGAGATCATATATGCAGAGACACAATTGTAAAGCTAACATGGTATATAAAATAGATGATTGGATAGATAATATAAAGTAGTGAGAAGGAACTGCCTTCTGTAGTTTTATACTTATTTGATTATGTATTTTCAATAATATACACCATCAGGCCTATATAATTCTATTGAATGCATTATGTAAAAATACACAAGATATGTTTATTCTGTGACATACTATAACATAGAATAAATTCACAAACTCATATATCTCACAAATTTTCTGGAATCCTTAAAACATTACGAACACTCTTGCCTTTACAAGGTATGAGAATACAATCAATTTTGTCCATAATAGTTTTTTGCTGGACTACTTCGTTCTATGTCAACAAAAAAAAAGAAATGTTAGAAAATAGAAATAATTATGAAATATATTTACACTATTCACTTACATGAAAAATGGCTATCATCTGCATAACTGCTATATACTTTGACCGTGAATCAAAATCAAATGGCAATTCTACTAATGCTAACTCATATGCAACAAATTGACCATCTTCCAGCATGCTAAGGGCATACAATGTTAGCCGATATGCTAAAAATGATAAATGGTAAAAAGAAAGTATGAATATAATTATTATTTGATCTTATATAAAGCAAAGTAACAAAAACCTTACCAATAACCTGCATACTAAAACTTTAATTTTTTTTGCTATATTTACATCTAGGTCAAGGTGGTTTTTAAGATGTCTACCAAATTCAATATGTCAGTATGTAGCGTCTTTTTGGTATCGTAAACAGTATGACGAGTTGTAGGATTACTTGGTGGTCCCAAGACTTCCATATACCAGATTTCTTTGCCATCGCTGACACAAACCCCTTTCAATATTTGTATTAAAAATTAGTTACAATAATACTCACGGCTACTAAGCTTACCATATACCCTTTACATCCACCAGTACAATTCTGGAATCAGTTAATGTTTTTACTATCTTTGCTGATCGCACATGTGTTTCAATCCAATTGAATTCTAAGGTAGGGACCTCAGTTTTATGCGATGCGATGCGATGTACATAATAGGCCAATTTTTAACATAATAGATGCTAAGCATAATTTGACCAAAAATCGCATAATCATAATTGGCACCTGCTGATTGGTCAATTTTTATA